AGCTTTCCATGTAGACGTCGGAAATTCAAATGCAAAAGGAATTGCGATTCCATTTGAGTTTTGGCAGGTTACGTGCGCGACGCAGCGAGAGTGAAAATGCAGACTGGTAATTATATTGCTATTTAAATATGACAGGCTCGTAACTCCTAAGACATGGGAAATACAGTTGCAAATGGACTTTGCTTTTTCATTTGAAATTTGGCAGTCACTGTGCGTTCGCGAAAGCGAAAATGCAAACGCTAATGCAGGATTTGCAATTGCATTTGGATTATGTCACAATTTATGCGTCCACATATTGAAAATGCAATTGAAAATACAATTTGCTATTCTATTTGAAAATTGTCCGGAAAATCGTTCCATAATACTGTGATAAAAGCTTATTTATTCATTAAAAGGGTGGATGGGGAGTATGTTACTCATTTTGAATGCAAAGAGGTTAGCCAATCATAAAGATGTCATTTGCATATAGACATCGGTTTTCTACATTTCTACATGGAATTCAAGTGGAAAAAATGTGACAAATGTGTAGAGCATGGCACATTTAAAACTGAAAATTGCCCTCGTGTCTGATTCAGTGTGGAGTTTAGAATTTCTAAAGTTTGTATTGGAAACATCAAACATGAACTCAAGAGTGTTTTCCTCATACAGATGGTCAGCATCCGACGACTGTCTGGTCCTAAGAACCCAGCTGAAATGACCTACTACATACAAGTAGATGGCTCTCCCATAACTGGCACTGCTGCAGCTAAGACCCTCAACACGGTGGACTCTCAAACCATGGCTCTCTCTCTGGGCTACTTCGTCCAAGTTCAAGCAGAGCGTATGTATATAATTTACTCGTCTAGCTCAGTTTATTTTCGAACCATCATTTAGATTCTATATACAGGAAAAATTATGCTTTTGTGAGCGTTTACTGTCTATCTTATCTAGAACTACTGTATTTCTGTCATGACAACTCTCGGAGGGATTGGCATGGTAATGTACAATGCAATGTTAATGTATTTGGTCTTGGTGGACTAGATCTGCTACGCTGCTGCTGCTTCTGCGGCAGAGCAAGTACCGTGACTTGCTACTGCCAATACATCCACAACATGCTGCTGTGAGCATGTAAGAAATATTGCTGCTGCAAAAATAACATACATGAAATAATATATAGCATACATGAATCACCTCGTAGCAGATCTATACAGGTGGAGCTGGGGAGGTGGAGGGTTTCTGAAGCAAGCTGCAACTGCTACGGCAGCACTAGTCATATATTTAAATGTTGAGCAGCGAGCTCATTGGCTACCGATCTAGGAGAGAACCAATCAGCTGTGCCATGTCATTATGATGTCATTAGGTCAGATTGAGTTAGACCTGTCGGACTCGCCATCTAGAGTTTCATGCCAGAACTCTGTATATGTTTAAGGTGTCAAGAGTGATTAGTACATTATAGTTTATATTAGCGGTGCTAATGCTCATTCTTGGTGTTTTGACCCCAGGAGTTAAATTGGGCTGGGTCTGTCCAGGTCTGAGCCCCGGCACATAGTCTTACACTGTCAACTCATCAGTTAGGGCCCTATGATTTCAGTGATGCAGAAAACGCGGATGGAATCGCAGAATCCAGTCATAAAAATAGAATTTACTGTATAATAACTCAGAATATCGCGGAATCTGCCAAATTTTGAATGGATAAATCAAAAGTAGGTCAGTACACTTAAATCAAATGGCGATATGGACTAGTGTCTGTGAATATTAAACCGCAGAAAGACTATTTAAATATGAATCTTACATGTTCTGTGTGTCTTTGTGTGAGTGAATGGTGCAGACGCGCGGTTTCGTTTACTACACATACTGAAGCACGCAAAGCCAATTCTAGAGACCAAAATATCAGGGTTGGCAAATAAGTACCTAGCTAGCAACCTTGCTTTGCCATTACCTTAGCATCAGATTTTGCTCCACTCACAGTTATGGCAGAAAATGTGAAAATCTTGTTACATTTATTAATGCAAGAACAGACAACAGAAATGTTTTATCAAGTGAAACTCTAACTCAAAGTGGAAATTCTACTTTGACTTAATAAGGAACCAAATAAAGTGAGTATGATAATGCTGACTTATTTTTCCAAATGAGGTCTATAGCTATCTCACACCGTGCTAGAGAAAGCGCAGGGGATTTGGGTGTAGAGAGTGTACACAAGTTTACTGAGCTCTCAACTGGGGCGGCAAGCCCAGTTTGTCTGCCGGAGACGAGCAAAGCCCCAGTTTTGTATGAATAATACACAATCAGACCCAGCAGTGGGGGTTTAATCTCCCAGATAAGAGCTACAGCAGAAAGACAGATTCAGCTCATTAGGAGTTAACCACAGACAGTAGGAGACAAAGGGGAGTTGGATTACTGTAAGAGAGTGTGCTGGAGACACAAGTGGCGGAAAACATGTGCAAGCACTGTGAAAGAGTGTATTGATTTCCAATCTATGTTTGTGTTTGTGTGTAAACAGCGGTGGTGAAGAATCTGCCTAGTAACCTCTGGATACTGGCGGTCCTGATACCTGTATCGCTGGTGATGGTTGTGGTGATTATGGCGGTTGCTATCATATGCAGGAGAAACCGAACTGTATTCAAAACCAGTGCATTTCGCAATTTTCATCCCCGCACGAAGGTAGGCTCTTCCAAACCATGACTCTTCAAATAAACACATCTCTGTCTTGTCCAAAAAGAGACGGTTATGTCAGCAGCATATTAATAAATCCATTTAATATTAAACATAACTTTATGGAAGTCCAGTGACAATGGGTCTGATTCACTAATAATTGAAATAGAGATACACCAATATTAACATTCTGACTGACAAGGATAAAATGATAATTATTTACATTTATGGCAGATATTTCTCTGAAAAGAAAAAATAACTACAACCATTTTATAAATAAAACATGTTTAAATTGTTTTTAATATAATTGTATATATTAATTACATAAATAATTAAAAAAAACTTTTAAATGAAATGTTAATATTTTATGTATTATTGTATTTTCTAATAATTTCTAATTTTTAAAGATTAAATGTTGTTATTTATATATATACATATATATATTACATCAAAAACTATGTAGAAGAAATGTATGCATCTTACATACTGTATATGTGTGTGTGTGTGTGTGTGTATGTATGTAAAATTGATAAATGTAAATTTAAAGTTATTTTAATCCATGTTTTAAAAACAGAAAATAATAACTATCGTATAATAATATTCAGCAGCGCACATATTAGACTAGATTTATGTTTTCAGTTCGAATGGAAATCTTATACAGTATTAGCGTTAGTCGATCTAAAACTGTAATTGATCATTAACAGCTATCAACCATGTTGGTATGCAAATGAGCGGTCTGAACTTGTTTACCCAGCGCATTTTTTATTTTGGTCATGTATGCACACCACTTATGTGCACCCCTGATAATATTAATAGCTCTAATAAGAACCGTAATTTATTACAACCGATAACACCTTCACCACAAGAAGAAAATGTCCCATACAAAATTTTTGCTTGATTCATATGTGGATTTGTTTTTATCTTCTTTGCAATATTAATGAATGGGGATTATTTTAAATGAGGGAATGTCATCTCATTTTGACAACTATTAGGGTTAAAATATCCTGATTTCCTTCGTACTATTTACAAAATCCTTTTATTTTTCATTTTACATCTGAATATGTTGCTGGACATAACCTTTTGAAATGGTGGCTTGCTCTTCAAACACTTGACGTTATCACCACATGCTGTTTCAAACCTTGGAATGACAAATTTCATTTTAACGCCCCCCAAAATATCCCTCCAATTGTGTCTTCACTACTTTTCCTGTCCAGACCTCATATCGAAGAGATGGGAGTTATCACCACCAGGTATTTCTGGCTTGTGCTTGGTGCTTAGCTGCATGTTTATAGTCCAGACATCCTTCTTGTTGACAGTGCTTGCAGGAAATCAGTCCGCAGGGGAAAGGGGAAACAAAAGATTATCTGTCCTCCGTGTAATCGATGAAGTAAGATCTAGTGCACTGAGGATATCTTTGATCAGCACAGCACAAATATCTCCTTTCTTGTACCTCTATTTGAGATTGCAGGACGATGACTAATAACAGAACGGGGAAGAGTATTACCATAGTATTACTGTAATTATGATTTCTTTGTCGCATTTGGACTATGAGGCTTTCAAATAGATCCAGACCAAATGCAGGTTAAGAAATTAGGCCAACCCAAGCTGAGCAATACATCAAGGTTACATATATGCATAATTAGATGAAGTTTAAATAGATTGCAAGGACTTTTCATCTAAAACGGGATACATTAAATGATCTAACAGGAAGGAGATCAGCTATATGTGTTGATGTGTAGAGGGATTTATTCATAGTAAATCATAGAGTTTAAGGTCATTAAGATTTTTTTCCAAAGAAATTAATACTTTTATTCAGCAAGGATGCATTAAATTGATCAAAACGGACATTAAAGACATTTACAGTTACAAATATTAACTTTTTTTTATTTGTCCTTGAAGAATGTATCACAGTTTCCGCAAAAATATGAAAAAATTATTCAACTGTTTTCAACATAAAATGATTATTATCATAAAATGATAATAATAAGATATATTTCTTGAGCAGCAAATCAGTATAGAATGATTTCTGAAGGATCGTGTGACATTGAAGACTGGAGTAATGATGATGATAAATTCAGTTTTGCATCACAGGAATAAATTGCATTTCAAAGTATATTCAAATAGAAAACAGTTATTTTAAATGGTAATAATATTTCCCAATTGTACTGTTTTTTACTGTATCTTTGATCAAATAAATGCAGCCTTGGTGAGAAAAAGAGAGTTTCTTTGTTGTGTAGAATGCAAATGTTTAGCAGAATGTCTAAGCTGCTCTTTCTGTACAATAAAAATGAATGGTGACCAAAACTGTCAAGCAAACTTTTCAATGAAAAACAACTTCAACTCAGTCTGTGCCTCACGTAAAGTTATCAAATGGCTTCAAAAGACTTCATAAAAGGCTTTTATGATGTTTTATGGGACTTTTTGTCCTTTTTGGAGCTTGACAGTACATGATCACCATCCACTTTAATTGAATGTTAAAGAGCAGCTTCGACATTCTGCTAAACCTCTGTTTTTGTGTTCCACTGAAGAACATAAGTCATATGAGAATGAAACATGAGGGTGAGTAAATGATGACAGTATTTTTTGAGTGAACTGTATTGTTTTTAGTAATGGAGTAAAACAATATGCAAATCAATTGTAATTATGATAACCGTCTCTTTGATCGTGCTCCCTCTTAGCCGTGTTCTCCGATCTGAAAACATTCCCTGCTTCATCCAATTAAGACGTCCTTTCAGGAACATGATTTTGCTTATGCACAGTAATTTGTGGATCAGTGTATAAAGCGTTCCGGTTTCATGCAAGAGCTTCCCATGTTAGTGTAAGGGAATTAGAGAAGGTGTGTGAATGTTCACTGGATGATCTAAAATGAGAATAAAGTCATATAAGGATTTCAGATACCGACACTGAAGATTTGTCAGGCTCAGACGGGATCAATTGCATGTGTGTCCGCTTGCATGCTTTTTGCTTCAACCTGTCGATGTGTTTGAACAGTCTTAATGTGTTTCCCCAGTTTGTTTGCACAGTTCACATCCCGTGCAAGACTTACAACCTGGATTCAATGCTTAAATCAAATTGAACTTGGATTAAACTAAGATTTATATAAGGGGTTTGTGGACTGTCACGACCCACGTCAGCCAGTGAAAGGCTCTTTCTTTTTCTTTCGGGCTCCTCTCAAAAACATTCAGATGGAGCATGAGTGAATTATAGTTCAGCTGAGCATGTGAAATATATTTGAGTGGGATCTGACCTCATTCAAGGTCAATGTCCAATAGAGAACGCTCAGGAAGATGATACTGAAATCATACTGCTTTTCCCAGAACTTTTGCTGTTTCTTTTTGGTGTCGTCAAAACATTATTAGCTGGTAATGCACAGTAAATCAGTACCAACCAATATTAAAATGTAATGTAATTTAATTTATTAATTTTATTAATTATTTTTAAATGATTAAAAATCAATCATATATACAATTTATTTATAATATAAATTATACAAATATATATATTTGTTTTTTTAAATAAATGTATATAATAAAAATGTAAATAAATGTAAATTCATTCATTTATTAATAAATTCATTGATAAATTTAATTAAATTGTTTGTATATATATATATATATATATATATATATAATGCATACATGCTGCGTCATCCACCGGAACGCCTTCTGCATATGACAGATACCGGAAGTGAGAGAAAAGTGTTTATTAAATTTGAAATATGGATATTTATCTTACAAAAACACATGGATTCGCTACAGGAGGCCTTTATTCACCCCCAGGAGCCATGTGAGGGACGTTTTATTATGGATGTGTGCGACTTATAGACTGTTCAACTGCAACACCTGCTGACTGCAATGATAGAGCTTGAAATAGCCAGGACCATTTTTAATATAACTCCGACTGGATTCATCTGAAAGAAGAAAGTCATATACACCTAGGATGCTTTGAGGGTGAGTAAAACACAAGCCAATTTTCATTTTTGGGTGAACTAACCCTTTAAGAACAAAGACATTTGTTCTCTTGACGTATTTTTAGAATTGAAATCAAGAAAGACAGACGTGGCACGCACAAATCACCAATGCCAACATCTGCCCGGTGCACACTGTATGATTTTGCCCTCTGGTCTTTTTTATTTGCATGCATGCATATCTGTAATGGATAAGTAATTGTGCACACTCAAATTACCCTTTTCTGTTATCTAACGGTTTAAAATGCCAATGATTTAATAATGTAAATCTTTAGAAAATCTCAGATAAATCTTAAAGGTCCCATGACATGCTTCTTTTTAGATGCTTTTATATAGGCCTAAGTGGTCCCTAGTACTGTATCTGAAGTCTCTTTCCTGAAATTCAGCCTTGGTGCAGAATTTCAGCCACTACGAGCCAGTCCCACAATGAGCTTTCCTTAGGACGTGCCATTTCTGTGTCTGTAGCTTTAAATGCTAATGAAGAGGAGAGAGGCGGGGCAACTGCAATGCTTCGCTCGTTTGCAAGCCATGATGTCTCTCGAGAAAAAAAAAATATTGCGCTCGCCTCGCACTGTAGTAGCTCATTTTCTCATGGGCGGGCCAAATTCTCTGGGAAAGGGGAGGTAACCTTTCCCCGTATGACGACATAAAGGGAAGATTCCAGATTGGGCCATCTGAGCTTTCATTTTCTCAAAGGCGAAGCAGGATACCCAGGGCTCGGTTTACACCTATCGCCATTTCTAGCCACTGGGGGACCATAGGCAGGCTAGGGGAACTCATATTAATGTTAAAAAACCTCATAAAGTGACATTTTCATGCCATGGGACCTTTAAGCAAATCAATATTTTTTTTAAATAAATTTTTTTGAAAGTTTTTGAAAGAAGTCTCTTATGCAAGAAGTCTCTTATTTATTTTATCTAAAATACAGTAGAAACTGTAATATTGTTAAATATTATTACAATTTAAAAGAAAGGTTTCTGATTTCAATATGTTTGATTTATTCCTTTGATAGTAAAGCTGAATTTTCAGTATCATTACTCCAGTCTTCAGTGTCACATGATCCTTCAGAACTCATTCTAATATACTGATTTGCTGCTCAAGAAACATTTCTTATTATTATCAATGTTGTGTTGCTTAATGTTTTTGTGGAAACCATGATATTTGGTGAATAGAAAGTTTAAAACAACAGCATTTATTTAAACTTTTTTTTTTAACATGATAATTGTCTTTACTGTCAGTTTTGATCAAGTTATTGAATCCTTGCTGAATAATATTAATTTCTTAAATAAAAAAAATCTTACAGACCCTTTTGAATGGGAACATAGAATTTATTGTAGAATTTAAAACTTTATTTAATTTTAAATGTTTTAACTTTAATATATTTGGAGAATATTTCAAGTTCATGTTTTCAAGGCAGTCAAGTCAGTTTTATTCAAGTCTTTGTTTTGTATTGGATTCACGTTTTTGTTTAATAAACCTTAACTTGGGTTCACTTCATCTTGCTATCAGTGGACATTCATTACAGTGTATTATTGTGAACAAATCATTTTCACATTATTTTTATATATCAGGGATGGGCAACTGGCAGCCCGCAGTGTCTTTTAGTACAGTGCGCTGGATCATATTAGACTCAGATGATCAATTTTAAAGCTTATGAAAAGTTGCTTTCAGTTTATGATGTTAATGCTAACTCCAACCAGTCGCTATAGTTTCCAGCCGCTCCCTGTATTAATTAGGGTTTCCGCGGGTCCTTAAAAAGTCTTCAGTTTAATTGTATCACATTTAAGGCCACAAAACTCTTAAATGGTACAAGAAAGTTTTAATCATGATTTTGAGAGGTCTTAAATTTGGGGACGGAAAGACAAGAACTGCGATGTGATGGTTAAACTTCAAAAGGCTATGATTTTATTGAATAACTGCAGCGCTGCTTTGTGTACTGCTGTTACCAGGGAAACCGCTTTATTTCTGCAGTTCCGAAAGCGCCTCCTGCTGTCAGAGAATGAATTTGTATTTTCAATCAGCCCGTCTGCTGTTTTTGTTCAGACCAATGTGAAAATCAACCCATGTTTTTAAGTGTGAACCGGTGGATCGACAAGAAGCTAATGCATTATAAAAATCTAAACAATTAAGACGCTAAGATATATTTATATGTTATTTAATTCATAAAATTGATTGATAATAGTTGTTTAAATTAATAAAATAATTGATCATTTGACTTCGACAGTATATTGTTTAATTGCATCTTTTTTATGACTGAAGGACAGTATCAATGATACCAATACTGATTTTGTCTCTAGGAAATTGTTTTTTCCCCTAATATAGTGTGAACCGGTGGATCGACAAGAAGCTAATGCATTATAAAAATCTAAACAATTAAGACGCTAAGATATATTTATATGTTATTTAATTCATAAAATTGATTGATAATAGTTGTTTAAATTAATAAAATAATTGATCATTTGACTTTCTTAAAAAACATGTTTAAAGGCTGAAATGTGAAGTGCAGGTCTTAAAAAGGTCTTTAAAAGTCTTAAATTTGATTTAAAAAATCCTGCAGAGACCATTATATTATGGTGACATTTGGAATAACTATTTTTTGAATAAGCAATTTTTAAACTGTCCTCTTAGGTTGAGTTGAGAATGTTCTGTAGACTACTAATCAAAAATAGTACCTCTGTACATTTGTTTGTTGCAAATTTATAGACAATGCAATAAAGATGTTTACATCGGCTTGTTGGGGTAATATTGCTTGTCAACTGACAACAAAATTTCCAATTTTAATTAGCATAACTGCACAAGTTTTATAGTTAATAAAATCTTCTAAAACAATTAATTATAGTTTGATTTCCTTCAAAAAAAGGAAATTGTGTAAGACGTGATGTGGATTAGTGATCTGGCCCCTTGGTATAAAGGAGAAAAAGTGCTGGCCTTCTATCTCTCTCTCTCTCTCTCTCTCTCTCTCTCTCGCTCACTCTCTCTCTCTCGCTCTCTCTCTCTCTCTCTCTCTCTCTCTCTCTCTCTCCATCTGGGCTTAGTGTGAAACTTAGCCATCATCGTCATGGTGACAGCAGGGCAAAGAGACAGCGACTTGACGTTATGTAAATTTGTTAAAATAATTAAATAATTTAAATTAACATTTTTAATAATTTACAATATATTTATCTATCTATCTCCCTATCAGTCTACCTATGGGCCAGAGGAAAAAGGGGGTTTTCAAGCATCAAAACAATAACAGTTTAATACAGTTTAAATTTATTTATTTTTTCTCTGTATACTAGATTGTGTCGTATTAAACTCCAAAAATTTTCTGAGCAAAAAAATTACAACTATTATACATTTTACCATGATTTACAGAAGACACCCTCTAAAATATAATTTAGTGTAACAATAGTTCATATACCAAAAAATCTTGTCAAGCATATTTAGAAAAAAAAGGATCACAGTTCAGCCCCCAAAAACTAATTAATTGTCATTTTAAACCAACTTTACCAATCTTTGCCAGTATCCTTCAAACCACTAGATTTTACCCATTTGTCAGCAAGAAGTGTTTAATTATTTAAAATATAATAAAATTTAGTAGTCTTTTTCTTTTATATATTTTAATAAGTACATGTTAGCATAAGTACATTGTTCCATTTTTACATAAATATATCTGTTACACTGAATGGTAATGGAACATTATTTCACGATATGGGTCTCGTGGGACCTGTTTAGTTTCTTCACAATTCTTAGTTATACGCCATAAACAATTGTCTGTAGATTTCCTTCTTCCTAGCAAGTCAGTGTTAATGTGATATGCTTGCCAACAATCTTTCCAGTAGTGATGTGTTAGAGCTCTCGCCAGCACATGATGTGCATTCTGATATGATGGTCTGTGGCTCATTGTGGTTGTTGTTCCAGAGCAGGCTTCATCCTGTTGTTGAACATTTGTTTAAATGGCACAAAACATGATGAGTAGATGCTCACCCTACGGTGATGTCTGCTAAATGACACCACTGCAATTTAACGCAGGTTAACTGAGGCCAGAGGACACTGCAAGGCAATTGTTAACCCTGCATCATACTGCATGCAGCAAACTAACCATTGCCTCTGTTGCCATGGCTACCTGCAGCAGGTTGCCAAGCAAGGACGGCTCTGTTTCGAGCAACGAATCTGGGAAGCTGAACACGGGCAGAAGCTCCACAGCTCGGAGATCAACAGTACAGAAAGCACCCAAAGAAGAGCAACACACAAGAAATGGTGAGAAAGACAGAAATGAAAGGAGCAGCACAATTCACATTCCTTAGGATCATAACCCATTTATGAAACCCATAATTACAATCAGGAATGCTGGATCTAGTTAATAAATTTAAAAATTTTTTTTTTTTTTTTTACATTTTTAAGTTTCTGAAAAAAAAGTATCTTTGTCGTTTTCCAGTTAAAAAAAATTTAATCTAAATATAATTAACAATGTACTTTAAAAGTCAAATTGCATAAGATATTATCTTAATTTTTATTTTAAGAAAAATTAAAATTATAAGATTAGTAAAAAATATATCTTATCTATTTATAAATTTAGAGAACTTAAATAGTAAACATTTGTAAGTGTTAAAAATGATTATACATTTTTAACACCGATTATTACATTATATTGTATTATATTATTTAATTTTTGTGGAAACTGTGATACATTCTTTGATGAATAGAATATTAAAAAACAGCATTACTTGAGATATAAATATTTGTAAACATTATACATTATTTACTTATTATATTTCATCAATTTAATGCATCCTTGCTGGGTAAATGTGTTATTTCTTTTAAAATATATATATAATTAAATATGTATATAATTTATTTTATAAAATGTTTGTGCTTTTGCATAGAGATTGTATTGTATTGTATTATATTATATTATATTATATTATATTATATTATATTATATTAATACTAAATTGTGTTAGATTTTTGCTAAAAACCAAAAGTTTTGCCACTGATGTAAGAAAATTAAATAAAAAAACTTATTTATATTTATAATAAATGTTACAATAAATATTTTTACTGAACATAAAAAAACTGTTTTTGTTTTGTTTTGAAAAAAAAACTGTGTTTAAACACTAGAACATAATGTTAAGAAACATCAGTTCTGTAACTGGATCTGTAACAAGTTTTTATAAGTATTTAGTTCTCATAAATGTTTTATGTGGGTATTGAAAGTCTTAAAACAACGACACAGTAATATTATTCTCATACAGATTTTTTTATATACAGGAGCTTTGCCATCTAAGATATCTCACACACCATTAAACCCCCAAACCCTATAAATAAGTGATTGCTCAGTATATTGTGCACCAGTGTCTAGTGTCAGACTCTGTTTTTGAGTATTTTCAGCTTCTCTGATCCCCTTTTTACCCTCCTACTGTAATTTTATGACTGCATGAGTCTCCTGTGTCTGTTTGCAGACCATTATGACTCTCTAACTGGCTCTCTACGCCTCATCACCATCAAGCCTATGGCTGCCCCACTCAACTATTCCTATCCTGACTCCTCCAATCACAGCCAAGACTCTGTCATCCTGAACGGAGAGGTGAGCTTGCTGTCATTATGGAGAGGGGCCACCTCATTAGGAGGCTTTTATCATTGATTTATTTTTACCTGTTTTGAGTGCTTGTCAACTTACTGGGCACCACACAGAATCTGTTCCACAAAATTTTCCTCTAGATCAGCAAAAAAGATTCTATTTAGACTCACTTACGGTCAGCCGAGGAGCACTAAATTGGAGTAAATAAATAACATCAGATTTTCACCTGCAGGTCAACATGGGGCTGAAGCAGAAGTCGGACATCGAGCATTACCGGAATAAGCTGAGGTTAAAAGCTAAAAGGAAAGGTTACAGTGACGGGCCAGTCACTAGCAGCAGCGGGAGCGGCAGCGGACACATGTACAGCCATCGAGACCGGCTGAGGTGTGAGAATGCTTCTCTGGACCTGGAAGATCTGAGGGGGCCGAAGGAGGACAGGAAACCCTCCACTTACGTAAAGTACCGCAGGAGGTAGTCGGAGATTAAATCCCTGCTATTATTAGTCATCCCAAAATATGTTTTCCTAGATACAGAATAAAAAAGGCAAATGAAAGGTGGAATTGATTCAGATGTAGTGTATATGTGCTAAAATCATGGGGCGAATTTACTGAACAGATAAGACACTTTTGCAATAATATAATATAACATAATATTGTTAATAGTGTTGTCTATTTACACAGTGTTCATTAAAAACATAAGTAAATATAAGCAATTCTTTTATAATAATTTATCAAATAAAATGGCACTAAATAAATTTAGCATGCTTTGTTTTTTATTTTATGAAAAACGTATACATTCATATTTATTTTTTGTTTTTGAAGGAAGTTTCTTATGCGTACCAAGGCTGCATTTGTTTGATCAAAAATATAGTAAAAATAGCAATATTGTGAAATTTCAATTAATTTAGAATTTACAGTAACTTTTTTTCTATTTAAATATATTTTAAAATGTCATTTATTCCTGTAATGGAAAAAGCTGAATTTTCAGCATCATTACTGCAGTCTTCAGTGTTACATGATCCTTCAGAAATCATTCTTATATGAATATTATTATATTATGCTGCTCAATAAATATTTAATATTACTGTCGATGTTGAAAACAGCTGTGCTGCTTAATATTTTTGTGATCATTTTTTTTTCAGGATTGTTTGATCAACAGAAAGTTCAAAACATATATTTTAAATAGAAATCTTTTGTAACATTATAAATGTCTTAACTGTAACTTTTGATCAATTTAATACATAATTGCCGAATAAAAGTATTAATTTCTTTAAAAAAAAAAATCTTACTGACTCAATATTTTTGAACAATAGTGTATATATAAGTTTTTCTGCAATGTTTGTGCCTTTGCATAATTCCTTTTATAAAATGTTGTGCTAAAATAACAGTTCATGCAAATAAACAACACTATTCATTCTTAGTAAACTCTCCCTAGGGTATGAATAAAGAGCTCTTTAATGAGCTTAAATGCTCTTCTCCAGTGTTTGGAAATCAATATTTCAGTGTGTATAAGAATAAAAATAAATCATAATGTAAAATTAACCATGACTGCAATAACCAAGTTGGTTCATGAGACAATACTGAACTTTTCAACCATTCTTTCAACAGTGACTCCCACAGGGAACCTGCATATTGGAGCAGGCAGTCTCTGAACACCCCGAGCCCTGTAGAGACAGAGATGGACATGCTGGTCATGAGGGAGAGATCTGGGAGGGGCATCCGCAACAGCGGCTACGATGTAAGTGCTGCCAGCCTCTTGCATCATGGGATCCCAAATATCCCTTCTATAAAGGCCCTGTCCCAAATGGCACCCTAAACCCTCACGGTCTTCCTCAGAGTCAGCACTTCCGTGACATAATACCGCTATGACTGCTGGGTAGAAGTCGGCTGCATAGCTCGCAGGCTTGCGGGCTCAGCAGAAGTGAGCATCGACGGCGCATAGGGTGCGCTCGTGAGCACCCTTCTGAATGCTAAAATGACGAATGGGACACCCTACGGTCTCGTGGACTTAACGGACACACGCACGTAGCGGCCATTGTAAGTCCTCAAGACCGAAAGTGCACATGGAGTGTGCCATTTGGGACAGGGCCAAAGTCTTCTGCTGTAGTCTTTCCACACAGCACATGTCATTCACAGTTCAGGGAGCTGGCAGAGATTATTTTCGCTTTAGTAATGACTATCAGCTCAAGTTTGCTTTGAGGCTTAAATGAAGGCGATTACCTTTAGCTCTAACTTTAAGTCCAGTTTATGACGGTAGAGAGCTTGAGATGACGGTAGCTGGTGAGCAAACCCTGAACTTTGCCCACGTCATCATGAAACAGAGCAGAATGTCATTATACATAAATATAATAATGACATTTTAAATCATTTCAGTATCAGAATAGCTGTGACTGTGCTGAGCATAAGTACTTCTGTTCTGTAAAAGTACTAATACTCGTATTCAGATCATGCATATATTATATTATATTAATTATATATTGATAGTGTTTGTACACTGAATGAAATGCATTATATATATATATATATATATATATATACACATACAGTATATACATATATATACATATATATATATACTGTATATAGATTATGTATCATATCTACGCCTAAAAGTTGCATATTATATGTATTCTTTTATGGGGGACCAAATGTGACTGTAATTAATCATTAAAACAATTATAAATCAATTAAGAAGTCAATAGGTCAACTAAATAATTGATGAATCAATAGAAAACAATTGTAAATCAAGAAAAAAAAAACATTTAGCATGAATGTAAATCAATTATGATAAATTAAGAATCTCTTACACTTGTATAAATTAAAAAATCTTATTTATTAAAATATTTATTAAAATATTTTCATTGTTATCATTAATAGTTTTAGTTTTATCACTATTATTTCTGTAATAGTAATTGGTAAAATATTTAGTTTTAATTTGCTTATTTATTTACATTTTTATTAATACATTTTTGAATATGTTAACGTTTTTATCAAATAACAGATACTTTATCCACATGTTAATAACATTTATTTATACATTTATCTTTTTTTCAATAAATATATTGATTTCTTTTTTTTTTCTTAATAGAACTGTCAGTTTTTCAATTAATTATTGACTGTCACGTTATTGACTCACATTGCCCAAAGGGTTAGGTAAGGTAGAAATTCATTTTTAATTGATGTTTAAGGGTACAGACATTTGAGGGAAACTAAAAGATGTTGAGTATGAGTATTTGCAATGCAGGTGACCCAATGAAAATATCCAAAAGTCTTCTCTAAAAAAATGTGATTTAAAATCTTAATTAAAACTACAAATGAATAGAAAGATTCAGCACTTTGAAACATTTAAACCTGAAAAATGTTAACAAAAATTTAGTTTTTGAAAATAAAAATTTAAAATATTTAACTAATCATTTGATGATGACTCATCATTGAACCCACCTCAGGGTGAGCCCGAGGCATTTGAAGAGACGGATGTGGACCATCTTCTGAGTTCCTTGGGTTTCGGCGGTGGTCACCAGGTCAAAGGTCACTCGGACTCGTCCACCTTGAGCTCGCAGCCCTCCATCAATGAAGTGAGGCAGCAGATGCACCTCCTCTTGGACAACGCCTTTGGTTTGGCCTCTGCCAAGCCAAACCCGGGCAACCACCACCACCATCACCACCACCCTCACAGTCCGTACAACCCCAGCCATGGTAGCCCTTACCTGGATGGAGTTACCAGCGCACCTGGGACTATGAACCACCCCAGTGGAGCTCTACAGCGCGGCTCCTCCTTTGGGCCGGATATGCACCAGTGTAGCCTCCCCAAACCAGTGAGTGCCATTCTTCAACACCACTGATGTTTGCAGTTAATTTGATTGTTTATATTGATTTTGGGAAAACAGCTTGAGCATATAGGGTGATATGTTGATATATGTCATCATATTAGTTTTCAGAAAGTTCATTTGGTGATTGTGCTTGGCTTTGCAGGGATTCAGGTTTACCCAGCTGCCTGATATGGGTTTGGGTTCCCCGCCACCCCTCATTCCTCCAAGAGCCCCACCTGGAACTTCACTAAGAGGGTAAGAGAAACACTAAAATTCTATTCATAGAAGTCCTTAGCAATGCATATTACTAATCAAAAATTAAGTTTTGATATATTTACGGTAGGAAATTTACTAAATATCTTCATGGAACATGATCTTTACTTAATATACTAATGATTTTTGGCATAAAAGAAAAATCTATAATTTTGACCCATACAATGTATTTTTGGCTATTGCTACAAATATACCCCAGCGACTTAAGACTGCTTTTGTGGTCCAGGGTCACATATATTTATAGCAGTGTTTAAATGCATGCTATAAAATCAAGCATAAAATCAATTGAAAATATATAACTAAACTTAAATATATATTATATTACCTTATTATAATATATTATATTATAATTATATTATATAAATGTATAGCATTTGCACACATTGGCGCAAACTATATATATTTCTTTTGTATTTTAATTATATAGATTTATCTTTTTATGGAGTATTTTATATTAAATATATACTTCTCTAAAATGGTGAGAGAAACCTTAAAATACACATTCATACTCATATTTGGATCGTCTATTTTATTTTGTTGTGGTTTAGTGTGGTTTTGTATCATATCTTTACCCAAAAGATACAAATTATATGTATACTTTTATGGCAGACCAAATGTGTCAGTGATCATTTGAAAAAAATGATGAATCAAATTTAGAAATTAACTTATCAATCAAGAAATTAACATTAATCATGTAGATAAATTAAGAATTTACTTAAAAAATGCATTTATTAGTCATTTTGTAATGAGAAATTAACAGAATTATTTTCATTATTTTCTATTTTTATTCAGCAATATTTCTATATTAGTAATTAGTAAAATATTAAGTTACAGTTTGCTTGTTTATCTGCATTTTTTAAATTAATTACTTTTTAAATATATATCAAAATCAAATAGCAAATACTTTATCCACATGTGAATAATTACGATATATTGCTTTATCTTTTTTTAATTCATAATTTTTTTCTTAACTGCTTCATCAGTTTTTCTGATGATTATTGACTGTTACTTTGCCCTTTAGAGGTAGAGATGGTAGAAATACATTTCCAACTGATGTTTATGAACATCTGAGGCCACTGTCCCAGCGACAGGGTTTTTTGCACTTTTTTTCCCTGTCATAGCACATCATTACAGCATCAAATGGCCAGCATTATTGAGATGAGACACATGTATATTATATGTATTTATATAAGCGTTTCTCCTCGGAGATGCTGTGGCTGGCATGCATTAAAGGTGCTTTTGGCATGCATTAATGGTTGTCACTGCTGCTGACTGCATTGAGGTGTGCTATGCGGCTCTGAGGTGATGCTGGCCAGCGTTGCCCCCTGGTGGTTTGATTACATTGTAACAAGACATCTTTATCTCATATTGTAGCTCCACACCAGACATGAGTCTGAAGCCTGGTGTGTCTGAGGCCTCAGAGATGAGTCAGCACAATGGCACCCCCTACCTGCCAATCAACCGAGCTCCTTTCCCTGCTGTTACCGTCGACGAGTCTATGACAAGCTACTCAGGTCAGTGTGTTTGGTAAACAGATCCGTTTTAAAGTAGATTAAATACACTAGGTTTAGCTCCTGATCCAGATGTACGGGAAAATATAATAACAATATGGATTTTTGTTCTAATATCACATCACATACATATACCATGGCAATACCATAATATTTTTACATGTACATTGATAATACCAGTTGTTGGCATGTATTATGGTAAAATCAAATGTACCATGATAAAACCATTGTTTTGTTTTTGTTTTTTTACATGTACATTGATAATACCACTGTTTTTGGTAAAGCCTTTTTTACATGTACATGTTTTACAGTGTAAAAAAACAGTTTTGACGTGTCATGCTAAGACCGTAGATTTTTGACATGTACCATGTTAATAGCGTAGATGGGGTATGGCATTATCATGGTATACTTCAAAAAATTATGTTATTACCATAGTACTATAGATGTAAAATATATATTACAGTATCTCACGGAAGTGAGTACACCCCTCACATTTTGGTAAATATTTTATTATATCTTTTCATGTGACAACACTGAAGAAATGACACTTTGCTACAATGTAAAGTAGTGAGTGAATAGCTTGTATAACAGTGTAAATTTGCTGTCCCCTCAAAATAACTCAACACACAGCCATTAATGTCTAAACCGCTGGCCACAAAAGTGAGTACACCTCTAAGTGAAAATGTCCAAATTGGGCCCAAAGTGTCAATATTTTGTGCGCCCACCATTATTTTCCAGCACTGCCTTAACCCTCTTGGGCATGGAGTTCACCAGAGCTTCACAGGTTGCCACTGGAGTCCTCTTCCACTCCTCCGTGACGCCATCACGGAGCTGGTGGATGTTAGAGACACTGACAGGCTGACCCCCCACCCCTTCAACCTCTGCAGCAATGCTGGCAGCCCTCATATGTCTATTTCCCAAACACAACCTCTAGATATGACGCTGAGCACGTGCACTCAACTTCTTTGGTCGACCATGGCGAGGCCTGTTCTGAGTGGAACCTGTCCTGTTAAACCGCTGTATGGTCTTGGCCACCGTGCTGCAGCTCAGTTTCAGGGTCTTGGCAATCTTCTTATAGCCTACGGTATCTTTATGTAGAGCAACAATCCTCAGAGAGTTCTTTACCATGAGGTGCCATGTTGAACTTCCAGTGACCAGTATGAGAGAGTGAGAGCGATAACACCAAATTTAACATACCTGCTCCCCATTCACACCTGAGACTTTGTAACACTAATGAGTCACATGACACCGGGGAGAGAAAATGGCTAATTGGGCCCAATTTGGACATTTTCACTTAGGGGTGTACTCACTTTTGTGGCCAGCGGTTTAGACATTAATGGCTGTGTGTTGAGTTATTTTGAGGGGACAGCAAATTTACACTGTTATACAAGCTGTACACTCACTACCATAGTACATGAAAAAACTATAGTATTACCATGATACTGTATATGTAAAAAAAAAAAAAGTTTTAGTAAGGTGCATGTAACAAAATCTAAGATATTAAATTGGTACATTGAAAAAAAAAAATTGTATTACCACATACAATATTATAAAAAAAAACAATGGATTTATCTTGGTATTGTCTCAGTTTTTACAATGTACCATAATAAAATCATAGGTAGTATGGTAATATGATCATTTTTGATGTATACCATGGTAATACCTTACTTTTTTCCATGCACTATGGTACCAAAGTTTTTGGCATGTACTATGGTATTACCTTTTTTTTTTTTTAATGTATCAGGAGAAAACTATGTATTTTTGAACATGTACAATGGAAATACTGTGGCTTTTTGGACATGTATTTTAATACCACATTTTGAATCAATTTGGGAGATTTTTGGTTTCCAAACATGTCAAATAACATTTTTATCTGCCTTCCATTGTTTGGCAGGAAACCCAATGACAGCAGTATATGCCATATCTGCCAACCGCCCCGGCTACTCGGACTACTTCGTCCTGTCTCCACCGTCCTCCTACCGGAGCCCGTCTTGGATGTCCTACCCTCCAGAGCCAGAGGACCTTCCACGTCAGTGGAATGACACGGTAAAGGCAAGCTCTGTTTCTATTTCCAGTTCGGCCAGCGTGACTAACCCTACCTGATGACTCCTAACACATCTGGTATACACATCCTTATTTCCTTCACATCTTGCTATCCTCAAAGAATCAACAGCCAACCTTATTCATCTGGATTGTCTTTCTTGTGTCATCTTAATGTAAATGTAATTTTCTTTCTTTTGAAAATGTCTTACAGAACCAGTGTCACCTGGAGACCATCTGCTGAATTGGAGTCCTTTCTGATGCTGAGCAGACACTGAAATTTACCAGGGTACTTTGGAGTTTTAGATTATTAACCATTTATACAGCAACATGAACTGATTATAAATAAAAAATATTTAAAAATTATTAGAAAATTATAAAAAATAATAATTGCATACACTAATATTCAAATGTTTGGAATAACTGAAATGTATTTATATATATTTTTTTCAAATCTCTTATGCTCATCAAGACAGTATTTATTGAATCAAAAATGAAGTACAAACAGTAATATTAATTGTAATATTATTAGAAGCCATTACTCCAGTCTTCAGTGTCTGGATCCTTCAGAAATCATTCAAATATGCTGATTCGGTGCTCAGTTATTTTCCTTTATTATTGGTGCTCAATTAACAATAGTTCTTTTTTTATTTTTATTATTGTTTTTTTTTCAATCTTACCAGACTTTTAAATGGTAGTGTATCACAGTTTCCACAGATATACTAAGCGGGAAAAAAACAGTTTTCAACATTTATAATTATAATAAATGTTTACTGAGCAGCAAATCAGCATATTACAATGATTTCTGAAGGATCATGAGACACTAAAGACTGGAGTAATGATGCTGAAAATTCAGCTTAATTGTTTTTTTTAACTGTTGATTTAATATTTTTTTAATTAAGTAGATAACTAATAAATGATATTATAATTGTAAAATAATTTCATAATTTAATTAAAATAATTTAATTATTTCTTAATTATAAGAGAAATTATTAAAGATTTTACGTTATAATTTTTTTTTTAACTTTTTTTATTTTTTTATATCAAACCTGTATTTTGGAATAGGTTTGGAATGACATGAGTATGCACTGCTATGTGGTTGTATCTTTCAGGGTTTGAACCACCAAAAAGAATCGTCGTCTACTCTGAAATTTCAGATTCAGCAGCCCCAACTGACCATGACGCTCGGCCGAATGGCCAACCAGACCCACAAGCCACAAACTCACCTGCCAGCCTAAGCGAGATGCAGCACCCGTTATTAATCAACATCTACAGTGAGGGTAAATCACCAAACAACCACGCTGAACAAACAACAGGTTGCCTCACTGGTCAAAACTGTGTTTTCTTAAAGCTTTTTCAAATTTAGAAGTGTTGTATCTAATGCAGGTGGTTTTACGTGTGTTTTAAACACCCAAGTTACTAATAACGAAAAACTAAAACATTTTTTTTTCCATCTTGGGCTTTCCTTGCTTCATCGATGCCTATCTGTGTCTTTTGCTCTCATTCATGCAGTTTTTAAAGAAACTGATATTACTGTAGGCATTTTGCAGGTGATTCTTTTCGTGCACTCCGTACAGCTTAAGTAAAAAAGTGAAGATGACGATGAAGGATGTAAAAGAAATCAAACATTTGGAGGGATGTGAGATCCTGTACTGTATTTACCGTAGTCACAATGGGGGGGAAATAGTATACGCTTTTTCTTTCTTTTAAAAATGCCATAGTTTATGCTGTATTAAAGTGTTTCACGATGCACAACCATTCATGAAAGGCATGAAAGGTGTTTTGAGAGTTTAGGTTTGACGTGGGAAGATAGCCATAAAGGTTTAGTGGACAAAGAGATTGATAAATGATGAATGGATGGAGGGATTCATATTTTTACTAGCAGTTTTGAAACTACTGAAAGAGTAACTATAACTACATATTTTATTGTCTTATAAAAGGTACCAAAACATATATATATACACACATATATATATGAAATAAAATATGCAGCATACACCAAAATTGACTTGAAAATTGATTTAGAATATATCGATCATATAAAATCAAAAGCTGTAGCATACTATCTTAATAAGACATAAATTCGCTATAACTAAGCAAGTACAGTGTTACAGAAGTAACACTGGCATGTGTTCTTAAGAGAATGAATCTAATGCATGTAGTCTGGACATATGAATCATAAGGGCTTTGTATGTCAAGTAAGTCCCATATTTTCTTTGGGCAGTTATAGGATGGAAATCTATTGTAAAAAGGTTAATCACAGCAGAAGTATCCCATTAAATAGACACTTCCTGTCAATGTACTTTACAAACCTTTATTTATTTTGCTTTTATTTTTTGGTTAAGGCCCATTTGCAGAATGAATCAAGCTACATAATCGGATTTTGAAAATTACATAGTGTATTGTGTAAATTATTACAAATGCCACTACTGTTTGATTTGTGTTTAAAGGAATTTTGTCACTTTCCGTTTAACGTCGGTGGTGCAGGGGATGTGCAAATATCTATCATGTAACTGTTCCTTTTTAAAGCATTTTCTTTTACTATTTTTATATCAATTGAATCACCCTTTTTTGGCCAACAATGGAGGACATTCTGCTAAAAACTGTAAAATATTGTGCTTCAAATGTATAAAAAAGAAAAAAGAAAAAAAAATGCCTCGTTGTGAACCTAAGTGAAACAATTGTGTAATATTCATTGTGTACATCATCATAACAAATAAGATGTTGACTTGTTTTCCTACTTATACAACACTAAACAACTCCATATTTGCCAGATGTACTGTATATTTTCCTGTAAAAAAAATCACTTTAAATGTTCTACTTGTTATTTTCTTTTCTTCTTGATTATTTTATTTAGCATAATGTAAAATAATCATTATAATGGTTTAACGCTTTGAAGGACTCATTTTTTGTGGGTTACACACTGAATCAAACCTAATAAAAACTAAGAAGCATTTGATCATTTAAAAATGATAAAATGGCTTAATATTGTGTTTAATGTCTTTTTTCCCTTATTGTCCATATTCATCTTATTTTAGCATTTGTACTTTAACCTTGCTAGCCTAGCTTTGCTGAGCTTGTCATATCCTGTCCATTAGACGGCAGCACTCCCCTTTATTTTAGTTCTTCAAAACTTCCTCTGCTACAGAATCATTCCTGGCAATTGATGTAGCTGCTTTTATTCACTTTGTAAAATCCATTATGTCCCTTAACTCTAGTATAAGCACATTTCGAGCCGTATTTTCTGCTTTGGATATTAAGGTGCCACCCCTTGTTTCTATACCCTTCCCTTTGAGGGGATCCGTTCACTCACATCTCTATCTGCCAAGCAGGTGTCTTTATGGGCCTGACTTGTCGACTTGCCGGAGGGGATGCTGTCAGACCGGCTGAGGTGAGTTTCTCTAACGACACAGGATGCTGCCGGAGGGTAACACTGGCCTGTCCACTTCGATCTGGTCTGTGGCCCTTTATCTGTGACAGCAAAGCCATTCAGAGCCACATGAGTCACATCAATCACTGCAGGGACGAGGCTTCTGTCTTTCAGATGTCTGGCAGCATTTAAAGCACTAATCACCGCTCTCCTTATACTGCAGGTAAAGCTACATACTTGCACTTTGTAGTAAAAAAAAAAAGAAACATTATAAATGCAGTGTGTGTGTGTGTGTATATATATATATATATATATATATATATATATATATATATATATATATATATTAATGAATAATGCCTAAATGTCTAAATGTCTACTGTAAGACAGGAAACATATTTTCTTGCCCCTGAAATACATTTTGAAATATAGTATGAATATTGAAACTAACTATATTTCTACATTTTAAAAAATATATTTATATAGCTTCACAGTTTACAACATATATTTTTTAGCATATATTTAAAGTACATTTTGGCAAAAAAAAAAAATTTGTAGTAAAAAAAAAAGAAACATTATAAATGCAGTGTGTGTGTGTGTGTATATATATATATATATATTAATGAATAATGCTTAAATGTACAGTAGTCTACTGTAAGACAGGAAACATATTTTCTTGCCCCTGAAATACATTTTGAAATATAGTATGAATATTGAAACTAACTATATTTCTACATTTTAAAAAATATATTTATATAGCTTCACAGTTTACAACATATATATTTTTAGCATATATTTAAAGTACATTTTGGCAACAAAAAATAAATAAATAATAATATATACAGTATAATATTATTTGTATTTTTTTAACCCATATACACATATGGGTATTTTGTACATTCTTGTATGTCCTTATGCAATTTACTGTAATTGCCACTGCCAGAGCAGCAACTTTACCTTAGGCTTGGAGTATTGCACTGTTGTCAAGGATATAAATAAGTGTTTGAAGCCCTTTCAAGCTCTGCTGGCTCAGCTCGTGTGGACTGCCTGGGAGGCCTGGTGTAATAAGAGATGTTTAATCGCCTCTTTCAGTAATTAATGTGCAATCACTGAAAGGCAAACAAATGGGAATTGCACAGCACTCAGCAAATGATCAGAGTGGAAGGTATCAGCCACTCTGAGGATTTACATTTCCACTGAGAGAGAGAGGAAACGCAGCTTAAGTGACCTAAATATGGTTAAAGCTAAAGTGATTCTCATTTAAGAAAGCCATAAAGTGGCATAATGCGAATGCAAGCATGCATTTTTAACAAGTTTGGGAAAGTAAAAAATGATTAAAATGTGGGTCCTCGAGGCATCACGTGGCTCTTGGATTACAGAGGGAATGTAGGTAGGCGAAGCAGTGATATTATTAACCGAAGATGTTTACATTTTAAATACAGCAGGAGGATATTTGCATATTTCTCAAGCGGCTTAAGTTTGCACTGTCGCAGGAACCCTTTACACTGGTTAAAGCATAACAACAAACGCTCATTTTGTGTTCTGCTCCCTGTGGTTTATTACAGCTCTTTTGAATATTTAATAAACATGGCACTATTTTGGATGCCTATAATCTATTCACTTTAGGACCTACTTTCTGTAGAATTTTCTAAAGCCAAAAACTTATTTTTCTAAAATGTTAACTCATCTGAGCCACTATGGGATATGCAAATGCAAATATTCAAGAACTAAATTAATTTTGGATTTCGCATATAACTGAGTTAGGTAACCTTAAAAGAACATTGTCACATTCAGAATCCACCCTGGAATATTTTGAAAAATTAAGAGCTTTAAATGATTGTTGTTCCATTAGCATGATCAAATCCATACATTTGATCATATACTGTATGTACAGTATATACATACATACATATACATATATAAACATCATTCGAAGGCTGCGTTTATTTGATCACAGAACACTAATATAACAAACTGAAGGACTCAGGGAAGTTGTGGTTAAAATCCAGAAGTGTTGCTAATGCTGCACAGCTCTGGTGAAAGTGGCAGCTGTGTGCGATAAGGAGCTTACTGGATGACTGCCTGAGTAATTAATAGTTGAAGAGGGTGAATCTATGTTTCAGCTGCTCCACGCCGGCTCTTTGTAGACTAAGAACAATGACCTTCACCACCCGAACGCCTTCTCAGTAAGACAGAAGGCTTATCCTTTGCAATACTGAACTGTGGGCTTGACAACCATTCTATAAATATACTGAATGCAGCATTGTTACCATAGCTACAGACCACAGATGAGCAAACTATGTTCTGCTACAATAGCTGATGTTATGATTTAATTATCTTTTTGTTGTTTGTTTAATTTTAGTTTAGTTAAGTTTCTTTTAGTGTTTGTATTTTATATTTTTTTCTGAAATACAGCTCGTCTCATATAGTGTCAGCATGTCCTATTATTGCTCAACAATTGTACTTAGTAAAATTAATCAATAGCTTTTTTAAGGTGAACTATTTTTGTACCACTACCCAAAAGAACTGTAAAACCAATGATTAATTAATAATAGAGTGCGACAGTCAGGTTCCGGAAGTAAAAATCATTCATTTTCTCTATAGGGAAATAGATTTTTAACAATAACATACAAACCATCAAAGACGGTCCTTTTGTGAGCTACAGTACAATGTTGTTAATCAATGGTACATGCTTTTGTTGAAGCCATCAGTTGGCATTATTTTTGCGTATTTTTTTAAATACTCGTGTTAAACAGGCAAATTTATGGTGAAAAACTACATTTCCCATAACGCTGTACAGAAAACTTCACTAATAAAAAGAGTTGTGGCAAGTGACATAATTGAGCTATGTTGTCAGAATACTTAAATATTTCTTCATGCATATTTCGCAATAAACTTGCAATATATTGCTTTTAGATCACCAGTGTTAACTTAAAGTTTTATATTTCTGTTTTTAATTTGATTGTCATTCGCAATGTTTCATGGGATTGTACTTCTTCATTTTGTCTCATTTTCAAATACTTCTTTGTTTCAAATCAAATTTTGTAATGTTGTAATTCACCTCGTAGCTGGCTCATGGTCTATAATGCTTTAACAAAGACTTTCAAAAAAAATCTTTATTGGAAAAATGAATGGGAAAAAATACTTCTGGAACCAGTGCTGCTGAAAAAGTGGACGGGCACAAATGCACTCTATATAAAATAAATGAGTAATAAAAGCACTCTATATAAAGTTTTTCCAAACAGTTCTCATGTCTTTTATTGGTCAGAAAGACAATTAGAGCGACCCTTGACCATGGGCGTAAATTTCCAGTGCGTTCCAAACGGGAT